TGCCTCATGCAGCTGTCGCCGCTCTGATTTCTTGCTTGTCGCGTCGGGCAAAGGCCCTCGACCGCCGGCTCCTTCCTCCGTTGCCTGTGCTCTTGCTGCCTGCAGCTGTCGCCGTTCTGCTTCCTTGCTTGTCTCGTCCGGCAAAAGCCCTCGACGGCCGGCTCCTTCCTCCGTTGCCTGTGCTCTTGCCGCCTGCAGCTGTCGCCGCTCTGCTTCCTTGCTGGTCTCGTCTGGCAAAGGTCCTCGGCGGCCGGCTCCTTTTGCAGCCCGTTCTTGCTCAATGCGAGCCCTCGCGGCATTCTTCTCCTCTCTCTCTGCTTCTCGGCATTGCACATTGCTGCACCATCCCTGTCCTCTGCCGCTTCTGATTCCAAAGCCGCATCGCCAGCAGGGGGCCATGACGAAGAAGCTTACCGAATTGGTCTAGTACAGTTGAACCGTGGTTGATTGCCGAAAAGCTGCGGGGTGCCCAAGCATCAGCAGTTCAACGTGGCACAATAAAACCTCAAGAAAGCCGCGTTCGGGCGATTCTGGCGCTTTCAGCTCGCTGCAGCAACCTTGCACAACATGCATGCAGAAGCTCAAAAGGCCATCTTCGGGCGGCTCTGACTCTTTCACCCTGCTGCAGTAGGGTGCACTTCGTAGTCTCTCTCAGCCTACATGTGTGGCTCAGGCTTGAAACTCTAGGACTATCGGCCGGGGGCTTGCTCTGAAGAGAAGACAACGTGGACGTGCACGGTGTCGTTGCTGAAGCTGCGATCCAAGAGCTCGTCCCAACTCCAGGCGTCCGTGATGACGTCCCCGCCCAAGACCAGTTCTGTGGTATCCAGGTGGATCGGTCCAATGCGACTGCTGTCCAAGTCGTGAAGCAGGATTTCTCTGGGGCTGCGATGCTGTAGTACTTCTGCAGGCAAGGGCTTGTTGGTCTTCTGCCGTTTATCACGTAGCTGGTGAAGGGAAAGAAATCGATCCGGGTCGTTACCTTCGTGCAACGAGGTCAGCCACGCTTCGCGGAACGACCCGCATTCAAGCTGGCAGGCCGGGTAGGGCCTTGAGGTGTGCACTTCATCACCCTTCATGTTCACGTACTTCACCGTCATATTCGCCAGACGCTGGTTGTACGCATTCTGGATCTCCATCTCCTTGTTCCACAAATCTCTCTCGTGCACATCTTCCTCGGCTTCGCGCTGCATCTCTTGTTCCACCCAGTCCCAAGCATCGAACCCGTCCTCGCAGTCCGCCTGGTCGGCATTGCGAATCGAGTTGTCTGTGCTCTGGAAGTCTTCGTCCATGTCGTCGGACATCGTTGTCGTGCCAGTTGACCTGAGAAACCAGGCGGTGGGCGTGGTCTTAGGCATTGACTGCTCTGACGACTGAGAATCGAGCCTCCAAGCAGTTGCCTAGGTTGAAGACTATATGTGACTTTCGCATTGAGCCCATGTCTGACCGGCCGACTGTATAGGTGATG